AAAGGGTTTATTAAATTTCAGAAATATAATAAGTCTTACTATATTCTTTCTGAAATGTTTATTCATAATTTTATAAAAACGTTAACAAGTTTATGAAATTTCAGAAAAATATAATCTTAACATATTCCTTCTAAATTTATACGGAAAGATTTTACAAAAAAAAATACAGAAAATTTTTATGAAAGTTAATCTTTCTTCACATTTTTTTCTTTAGAATTATATGAGTTATATGAGAGTGTTCGGCATAATTTGCAAACTGGTTCGAAATCACTTTCATCACTAGAAGAGATAGTCAACATATCAGATCTATGTCCTGAAGATAATGATTCTTCACAAGTAAAATTAGTCTCAACTTCGCATCTTGATTTTTTTCCCTTTGACAATTTAATCAGTGATTAAACTTTGGCTTTGCTATTTTTTTGTACAATTCCTGATATCCAGAAATGCAATTTTGAAGCTCGCGTTGAAACTTGAATTCAGACTCGTTCAGAATTATCATCTTTTTCGATGAAATGGTTTGCCAATTTGTGTCAAAACGTGTCAAAATGGCCTAAAATAGTTATTTTAAAAAAATGCTTCTTGAAATAAAAACCGCATAAAAAGAGGACCGAGAGTATTTGATAAACAATTAGGTCGTGAGTCAAAAACGTTGAGAAACGCTGTGAGAGTGATTGTTTTGAACTTATATAAACTACTTAAATAAAAATGCTTCTTGCTTATAAGGCTGTAATAATTGAGATGTATTCAATATAAAATCGAGTAATTGAAATCCAGGATACGTCGGCAATATAAAGTTATGTACGTTTGAATCTGTAATTGTGTGTCTATAGTTTTGCAGTAAACAGAAGTTGTTTGGCAGTTGATTGTTTAAAATATGGATCGATGAGGGATGAAACAAAAGTTGTAAACGGAAACGTTCGAACAACTGGAATTAGCATTTCAATGGGGGAGGACTTACATTTCTGAAATCGATGAGTTGCGTAACGAGGGTTCCGTCAGACCTCTGGAACTCCAAATTAACCGTGTCGTCGCTGACATTGGCGGAAATGTTTTCCTGGAGCACCTCGCCTCCCTGCAAAAAAGAAAGAAAGAAACCACAAGGGGTTAGAACGTCTTTAATCAAAAGCAGTGCGCGACGGACCTCGGAAAACGAGGACACAACACACACACAGAGGTACAAATCATTTTTCATATCTCGAGAGCAATTTGCATTTAATGTGTACGCGCCGAGATTAATTGCCTCTATAAACGCGCAGAACACGTTTTTCTGTTACCTTTTTAGCAATGCTAAAGCAAAGAAAACTTTCATCAACAAGCAATGTGCATGTAATTTGCAGAATAAACTCGGAAAGCTAAATTCAAGTACATTTTTTTTGTTGTTGTAGCAATTCTTATAAAATGTTTTATACATCAACTCATTCATATAATCCAAAAAAGAAAATAATTTTACTAAAATAAACTCAATTAACAGAACAAATGTAATTTTTAATTGAAAAAAAACATCATTTACTGAAAATACAATATTACTTTTGTGTGTTTGAGATGAAATGGAAAGTAGTTAATTAATAATCAAAGGACGACTGGTTCATTAGCAAAAGCAAACATTCCACGAACTTCATTGTCGTAGCTCGTAATTAGTAAGTTCATTCCAGCCGCTTAATACAGATAACTCTGTTATATTAATTATCAGGATTCCCGTATTACAAACTCTTAAAGCAAGCGCAATTAATCAATAATATGAATTGAATTATGACCCAATTTTGATTTATTCCTATAGATTTGTTAATCATATTGAAACATATTGCAGATGATTATATAAACTTCTTTTTTTTTTAAATTGCTTGTCTATCGCTTACAAGTAACAATTCTGAACTCTATTCCATTTTATTGCAAATGCAATAAGCAAAACTTCGTTTCCCGACGTGAATCATCCATCTCAATTGCATTTCGAGTTATTGAGGAGTTGAGCATTTACGTAAAAATGAAAGAGAACTGCTGGATCAATAGTGAGTGTACCTTTAAGAGAACAGTCGTTGTCAATGTGATTCATGAAATATACAAATTCTGGCAAAAGATTTCATTCATAACACATTAGTTTGTATTCATTTCAGAAATTTTCAACTAATAAAATTACAACAGAATTGAATACACGTTACATTCCCAAAATATTAAACTTTCATATAATCTTTTTGGATCCATTCTATCCATTACAGTTTCTGAGAAGATCAATAAAAATGTGAAATAACTGCTCTTTCATTACTTCATTTTTTAACCTGAATTATAGACAAGTAGATGAAATCACAGCAATGTTTGAATACAAATTGCATTCCCCAAATATTCAAATATCATAAGCATTTTTTGGATCCATGCTATCTGTTATAGTTTTTGAGAAGATCAATAAAAATGTGAAATAACTGCTTTTTCTTTACATCATTTTTTAACGTGAGTTATAGACAAATGGATGAAATCACAGCAATGTTTGAATACAAATTGCATTCCTCAAATATTCAACTTTCATATGCATCTTTTGGATCTGTTATAGTTTCTGAGAAGATCAATAAATTGTGAAGATTCGTTGAAACTACATCCAGTGGCGTATATAATAATAGTATAGTAAAAAAAATATTTAAATTTTGTTCTAGATTTGAGCAATAAAAGTGTGAGAGAACTTTCTTTTATTATATATGCAATCATAATTAGAAGTCGCGGAAAATGCGATTGTAACAATGTATGTAAAAATTATGCAAATTACAATTAAAGTTTATAAAGAAAATTGCATTTAAAATGTTCCATATTTAACCAATCCCCTGCAGTTTAATTGCAAAACGCGAACGGCCCTGGACGAGCGAAAAATAATCCTCGATGGTCTGGATGTATGTATGCATGCATGTTCGGTGAGTGTGTGTGCGTATGCAAATTAAAATGTAATCCGCATGATGCATATTTAATTGCGACCGTTTTTCCTGCAGGGCTTTTTGCGCTTCGGGAAGGGTGCTGCTATATGTATATATATATATATATATTTATGCATGCAGAGTGGAATTTTTGTTTCGAATCTTCTACCATTTACTCGTAGATTTTTGTTGCACATTTTGGCGACTCGCCCTGGCGTCTGGTGTCGAGGTTGTTCCGGGTGCACGCGGCGCGTTAATTAGCCCCGAAGCTTCCTCCCCTAATTAATGACGGACACATGCATGTTAATTAATCGTTTCCCATTCCCAGCGACTCTTTCTCCACCTCCTGCACATTGTCCATTCCTCATACAGCTCGTTCTTTCTTCACTTCTTTCAACAACAACAACAAAAAAAAATCTTCTGTGTGTCGTGTTCCCTTTTCTTCCATGTTTTCCTCTCGGAATTGCATTCATCTTCGAGCGCACTATATTTAATGACTCTGACGGAGGCCGCTCCAAATTGCGAAACAAGTGAAATTACGACTTACTCTTTTCTAGAAAATGCATTGCAAGAGCGACTTACAACGAGCGACGGATTCTTTCAAAAATGCACAGCTAAATTGCGAAAAGGCGAAAATAATTGTGAATGCTCCAACACTCTTCCAGCATTAAACTTTAAATACATACTTGCTTCTTTTATATCTCTCTCATTCTCTCTACGAATTCCCACTCCAACTTTCCGAACAAATCATGTATATTTTCATTTATGCTATGCTCTCTTCGTCAGACTTTTGCATCAAGCAAACTTCGTAAATAACTGAATAGCAAATCCAACAATTTTATACGTTAATATATATTACAGCAGTAGAAATTCGTATATTTTCGAAATCATTACAAATAAAATATTAAATATTTCATTTAATATATATTTCATGTATCGTTACAGAAATATCATTTCATGAAATCGGAAATACGAAATTAAATTTTAAATGGAAAAAAAGAAAACAAATAAAAATACGATACAATGCAGCGTGTGCGTATAATGCGAATCAATTAATTTACATGTAGCGAGAAATAAAGCAAATATTGTCCTAAAATTGTATCAATTTGGAGATCCGTCCCGTTCACCGCTGTTATTGTTGTAACTCCGATAATAGATTCCATTATGTTAAATCCTAAATGGAAAACAAATACAAATGCACAAATGCGCAAAACGATGGAGCGCAATGGCAATTTATGTACTCGTCGAATATCATTGAAACTATATTAATTATTAATTCCATACTGTTTATAATTTATCAAATCGATTTAGTGTAAACAACATCGAAATATTAGAAATAATTTATCCGTTTTCACGATTTCAATATGCATTTTATTGTTTCCATTTCCTGTCCAATTGTAATTGATTATATATATATACATTATTCAAAAGTGAATTAATCCATCCGAAAGCACATAATATTAAATTCAATTATTAGGTGCCTTTGTTCGCAATATTACTTAATTAATCTACATAATGAATGACACATCAAAATGTACATAATCAATTAAGGAAATTTCATTTCCCGAACATCAATGCAAATCGAAAGCGTAAGTGAAATTTGATCGATTTACTGTAGTTAATTTATGAAAGTTTGTAACAATGTAAGAATTCCGTTTGACCAGGGTTTCACAAACTTTTCCTGCAACCGAACATTTCGTAAATCTTGAAATATTCACGGAATGTTTATTTTGTAGGGTAGGTAATAAAATTAAAAAAAAAAATAACATTACTTCATTGTTGTAAACTTTCCGCGGAATTCTGGTGTAAAGTCTGGCTTAGACAATGGTATAATTTACACGAAGTAACCGAGACTTAATATAAGACAATATATCTGAGCCTAATAATGAATTTTACATAACTGGACTAGACATTAGATTCACTCTAACTATATACAATTAGATATGTTTATCACTTCCTCGTTTATATTATAATTTGAATATATTATTAAAGACATCAATAGTTATAAACAATATTAACAACAATATCTAACAAAAGTTCGTTTAGTTGGCTTGAAAAAACAAGCAAAAAAACTCTGGTAAAGTAAATTAACACCATCACTTTTGTTGCTGACATTCAAGCCCAGTCCATCACCTACCATTTCTTGTATCATTCTTGGATCTTAGTCAATTTTTGCCTTCACCAGGACTACATTTGTGTCGACGGTGAAAGATTTCGGGCGACCATCCCGAAATTCGTCCTGAACAAAAAAATGCTCAATTTGGAATCTTAAAAACCACTTGGAAATGGTCATAAGGGATGATGCATTCACACCATATGCATTTTGGCATTCCTGGTAAATTTGCGTAGGCTTGAGTTGACTTCGAAATTCGTATATTTCAATGGCAAAACAATTTTTTGCAGTGTTGGAATTTCCTTCAACCTTACATCACTAATCTTGTATTTTTTCCTATCCATTCTTACCGATCTTCTTGAAATTTTACATGAAATATCATTAGACTTTAACAAATTGAGAAACAACTTTTGTTTTTGCAGAAACAAATGTATTAACGCCAACTAAGCAAACTTTTGTTAGACTACGTGGGGTTGAAACATATTCAAAAACCATTATCACTCGTTATGCGAAACGTCGTTTTTTAATCATTTTTGATGCATTACATTATAGAAAACTGATAAATGTACTAACAAGTATTTACAAATATTATTATGATAATGAAATTGTAAATATATCTATAGAATTGATGATAATAAGTAAAGTATGAAAATAGTTTTGATTTAATTAATAATGTACGTTCGGCGAATTAATGATTTGGCAATAAATTAACCAGGTTCGTGCAAAAAGCAAATGGAGTATCTATGTGCGATGAAATTGAGTGGTCGTTTTTGGCCGCTCCGTTGCGGAAATTTTGTTTGTCCGTCGATACGTTCGACCGGCGTAATTAATTTCAACTATTTCCAGTAATTAAAGCCCCCCCATCCTCTCACCCCCCCTCTGAAACTACAGCCGTTCATGTAGACTGCATTACCATTAACAATTAGAGTATGCTGCGTATTTTTCGATTGGCAGCAATTTGGGAAACGCAAACTAGATCTGCCCGTCCGCCCGCACACACACCAATCACAATTAATGATCGACTGGAAATATTTCCTATTTTGCTGCTATGGCAAATACAAACAT